AGAGAGAGAGAGAGAGAGAGAGAGAGAGAGAGAGAGAGAGAGAGAGAGAGAGAGAGAGAGAGAGAGAGATTGCATTGGGCAGTTGCCTACAGCATTAATGCATCACCCATCATATCTGTTTTTGTGAGCGAAGCCGCAACAGGTCATCTAGTGCGAGGTGAAACTTGATGAGAACTCTGTTCATTTCGGAACAGCGGATGCCGTTGATAAATTTCATCAGCGGCCACCATTTCATTTCGGCCTTCGGAATGGGTGGGACCCACTCCGTGGCCGGTATGAGGGAAAGGTAGTGATGGCTTAAGAAAATAAAAAATAAAAAAAATAACGCCGATGGAGCTCTACCCTGCTCATGTGCAGTGTTGCATGAGCACTCAGGGACGGTAGTACTGTTAAATAATTAAATTCAATTTATGAATGGACAGGAAAGAAATACATGGTCTACAACGGCTCTTGTTGTTGGTCATGTACCTTTTTTTTATGTCTTATGGTGCACAATGTCAGAATTTCTCAGAAATTATTATTCTGTTGATGTGTGGAGCTTATTCTGTAAGATAGGTGAAAGGCAGGTGATCGATCTTCTTGAGGCTGGCAAGGTATGTGAAGCTTATTCTGCAAATATGTTTCTGCTGATGTGTGTGCACTCTTCGGCCACTTTTTGTCCGCTGTTGCTTTGCATACAGGTCTGGCACCTGAGAGACGAGAGCAAATTCTTCCCCAAACTGAATTTTCACAAAGTTATGGATGGAAGTAAGTATGAAAAGCCATGATCTCTCTCCTCGAAATCCTGTTGATATTTTTAAGAATCAAGGAGGAAAATCAGAGGTGAGGAGAGCAGAGTAGAGGGCAAATGATTATTTTTATGAGTTTTTTTAACTTTTTTTGTGTAATTGTTTGAATTTGTTTCTGAATAGTGACATTTTTGCATAGTTTCAAATTTCAATGCTCTTTATTATCTTTGTAATCATGTCATTCAGACTGATGGATATAACAGCAAACAGCCGTTGTGTGAATTATGAAACAAACCAGTAAACACTCTTGTTCAGCATTACTAAATAACAACAACAAGTGGACCCGCTGCGAAACACCGCAGTCATCAGTTGGATACCATCTTTGCAATGTACCCCTTCCAGACGCTGCGCAACTTTGCAAAATGGCCCGGGAGTTGCCAACTTTTCGTAGGTGCAATTCCAAAAGGCCAAGTGAATTTGCACACCCGCCTGACAGAGGCATAAGACAAACATGTCAGCCCAAAAGGCCATTCCACTGTGTCCATATCTTTTAGGGACATTTTGACATATATCTCAACTTATGGGGGTATTTGGCAAATTAACCCCCCCCCTCCCCCCCACCCACCTAAAAAGGAGACTCTCTCTCTCTCTCTCTCTCTCTCTCTCTCTTTCTCTCTCTC